AACCTTGATCCCTCTTTTCAGGGCGTGGGAGTTGTTCCAATCTCAGCGACAACATTTCCTCAAACTCTCGACTGGCTTCACGGCTATCTGTTGCAGGTTTTTGCTGCGCATGTTTCTTAAAACATAACTTATATCGTTGTGTTTGTGTTTTAGCGCATCGAACGGGACTGTCAGGAGGCATAGGCTTCGAAGCGTCCAAAGTAAAGCATTTGCCCAGAATGGGCATTTTTTTGTAGCCACTGTGGAGGATGGCTCGTGCAATTGCCCGAGGATTCTTGCGCCCAACGCAAGATGTAGCGGAGATACTGCTGGGAATTTTGAAACCGGGGCCTTACCTATGTCGAGACTTGGCTGGCTATGCGTCAACTGTGACACCAGAAGTAGCCGGCAGGGTCCTCCAACAGGTAGAGGATCCAGATGTGGCGTGGACATTCTTCCAGTGGGCTGGTAACAAGCCCGGTTTCCAGCACAACGCTTACACCTGTGCCGTTCTTCTCAACGCATTCGTCAAGGCCAAGAGGCACGAGGAAGCACACAGGCTACTCAAGGAAGAGCTCGAGCCGCTGTGCTTTCCCAACGAGATCATGTACACTACTGTCATCAACGGCTTCTGCAAGGCAGGACAAGTCGACCAAGCTTTCGAGCTTCTGGATGAGATGAAAGAACGAGGGGTCAAGATGGACGTGCTCTTGCACAGCACACTGATCCAGGGGCTCTGCAGGAAAGGCAGGATAGATGAAGCTCTGGAGCAGTTTAAGAGCATGGGCGAGGAGTGCTCTCCCAACGTGATAACTTACAACACAGTCGTGAACGGGCTATGCAAGGCAAACCGCATCGACGAGGGACTGGAGCTGTTCGACGACATGGAGAAGAGATACGAGGCTTCTCACGGGTGTGAGCCGGACGTGATCTCCTACAGCACAGTCATCGATGCTCTTTGCAAGGCCCAGAGGGTGGACAAAGCTTACGAGTACTTCAAGCGGATGCGGGCTGTAGGCTGTGCTCCAAACGTCGTCACTTACAGCTCTCTAATCGATGGCCTCTGCAAGGTGGACAGGGTGGACGAGGCTTACTCTCTCCTCATGCAGTTGAAAGGCGAAGACATGGTTCCGAGAGCCATGTATTACAATGCGGTCGTCAACGGGTTTAAGAGGCAAGGGAAGCCGTCGGAATGCCTGGAGCTGCTGCTCCACATGAAGGAGAAAGGCTTTGGGATCAACATCATCGACTTCAACGCTATGCTCCACGCGCTGTGGAAGAACGACGAGCAGGAGAAAGCCTGTCAGTTTTTCGAGAGGCTCTTGAAGAGCGGAAAGAAGCCCAACGTGGTCACTTACAACGTAGCGGTTCACGGGCTTTGCAAGGCCGGGAAAGTCGACGAGGCGTACAGGATCCTCCTGGAGATGGTGGAGAGCAAAGTGACTCCGGACGTGATAACTTACAGCAGCATCATCGACGGGTTTTGCAAGGCGGGTAGGATGGACAAGGCCGACGACGTTTTCACCAGGATGATGGTACACGAGTGCATCCCCCACCCGGTGACGTTCATGACGCTACTCCACGGTTTCAGCGAGCACAAGAAGTCGAGGGAGGCTTTCCGGGTCCACGAAGACATGGTGAACGCCGGCTTCATTCCCGGCCTCCAGACTTACAACGTCCTCATGGACTGCGTCTGCGGTGCCGACAGTGTGGAGTCGGCTCTCGAGATCTACCACAAGATGAAGCGGAAGAAGCGGCAGCCGGATGCCAACACGTACGCTCCGCTCATCCAGTGCCTGTGCCGAGCTCGCCGGGTGGACGAAGCCAAGGAGTTCCTGGACGTGATGGAGGCGGACAACGTTGTGCCAAACGGGGCGATTTGCCACGCGCTGGTGGAAGTTCTGTGCAAGCAAGGGGAAGTGGACGAGGCCTGCAGTGTTCTTGACAACGTTGTGGAGGTGGGATGCCAGCCACTGGGTGAAACGTTTAAGATCCTCGTAGAAGAGCTCTACTTGAGGAAAAAGTGGGAGGCGGCCTCGAAGCTCTTGCGCAGCCCGGGATTTGTCGCGGACGCTGCGACGTACAGCCTTTGCGTCGCGGAGATTTGCAAGGCCGGGGAGCCGGACGAGGCAGTGGAGGTGATCGAGCAGATGGTGCTCAAGGGCGTGAGGCCGGACGAGGCAACTTACGTTGCGGTTCTTCGGAGCTTGTGTGGATTGGATAGAGTGGACTCGGCCATCGCGGAGTTTGAGAAGATGGCGAGCAGAGGCTGCGCTCCTGGGCTCGTGACATACACGCTGCTGATCGGGGAGGCGTGCTCGGCGGACATGGCGGACGACGCTTTCAGGATCTTCGAGGCGATGGTGGCGGCGGGGTTTACTCCACAGGCCCAGACGATGAGAACTTTGAGCTCGTGTCTCAGGGACGCGGGCTACCAAGATCTTCTTGTGAGGCAGAGAATCATGACTATGGCAATCTCATGATCATTCTATCTTCGAGATCAAAGCTAGAAACCAAGAGATCTTGATGTAACTGCCTGTGGAACTTTCCAAGATCTAAAATGTGAGATATCAAACAACTAGATTCGAGTCTATCCAATTATGATCATTCTATCAAGC